GGGTTTCAGACCAAACCTGAAATTTGGCCCAGTTTAATTTAAAATGTCACCAAGTTTACAAGTGTCTTAAATACACCTGGCCAAAGTCTGAGTGAACATCGGCAGAGTTTCCTGTGAATCTTTGGGAGGAATTTATGTTTATATTTCGAACAGGCAGCTCCAAATAGCTTTTTGAAATCAGGCAAAATTCAAGGGTTTTGGCTGACTTTTGCTTTGAGTTTTTAAAAATCTACTCGAAGTAAAAGTCAAGAAGCAAATTCTTGGCCCTGCTATAGGCCCTTTGCACCACTCTGGTGCCACAATGTGGCAATAACACCAGCTTAACTACCCTTTTGAGGATTTCCCCTGTGAAGTGGGAATATTTTAGTGGTGTACAGTGGCATAATGGTTCTGCAACATGCCCTGATCCCACTCCCAAACATATGGGGCATGCTTAGAGAAAGGTGACATGGACACTTCTGGGCCATAGGCAGCCAGGAGAAATTTAGAGCAGCCCTGAGCTTGCTCTAAATGGCACCACAGGCTGAATTGGTCTCCAATTGGTCCCAGGATTGGAGGAATGCAAAACTGGTATAAAATCACCTTTCCCCCATTTTGTCCTGCATGGAGCATAGCTTGGTCAGACTAAATATTCTGGCCCAAGAGGTTCAAACCCATGTAAAGTATAACAAACAACACTGATCACATAACCTGAAAGTTGAATGCACCAAGTTTTACAGAGTTCTAATAATTACGGTACAAGGATTCTTATTAGAATGTCCTTATTTGCATGTTTTATTAGTATTAATGTTCCAGTTACTGGCCAGACAAGTGTTCACATAGTTATTTGATTTGCAAACACACTTTGGGTACTTGATTGTAAAAATTAGGCATGCACAGTAGTTTGTGTATGCAACTGCTTTTGTCTGTCTTTGAAAAGATCCCCTTATGTTCAGACTTTTTAAAAAAATCCTTCCCCCCAAATTTTCTGCTGACCTAAGGAGATTCATGCTGTAAGTTCCACCACCCATGAGGCTACAAACTTATTTTATTTGGAGCTCAGTGTAACTTGACATGTCACAGCCGACAGACATGAGTAGGGCATTTTCAGTCACCTCCTTTGTGTAGTGCGTACTTTAAAACAAGAGTGGTCCTCAAACTGACCCCAGGCCACTCTTTACATAGAAACCTCTTCCAAGCTTGAGAAGTTTATTACCCCTTGACTCCTGCTTTTCAACTAACTTTCTATCCAGCACCCTATGTTATTACTCATTCCATGATTCCTCAGACATTAATCTTTGACCTGGAACTTTGTTGAATGCTTTTTGAAAATCCACTGAATTTCCATGTCTGTCAAGGGAGTGATATACCTTCAAAGAACTCCAGCAGATTAGTTAAATCTATGTTGGCTACCTTTATTCAGTCAAGAGAAAAGATGGGAAATTCTTGGGAAGAAACTTGGAAGTAATATATATTGGTGTGAAAGGTTCAGCCACAAGCTACCCATACATGGGAAGTTACTGTACTTATATCAGTGTATATCAGAAACCCAGTTGTACTGCACTGTATTTGAATGTTATTAGAGTCTAATCTGTCAAGACAAACAGTGGGACACATGAAAGCATTTAGAGACAGCATAGTTGCTGATCATTCATCCAATACCTCCCATGGATTCTACCCTGGATCATCTCTTAAAATTAGCTCAATGCCCATGGTGCGCATTTACTGTGATACCCACAGGGCATGAGTCTCCACTGCCTTGCACCTTATGTTGTCTTTTTCACCTCTGTAAAGTGAGTGCAACCTGATCAAAATAGTAGCATTTTATATCCAATTTAGACAGGTGTAAATCAGAATCAGGTGCAGGAAGTCTACTCTATAAAATAGGTAGAATCTATCGTAAGGGTCAATCAGTGCATAGCTTTATTATACAAAATGACATTATTATAAGAATGCAATAAAAATGTTCAGCTAATTAAACAATGGAAGATTCTTTGGGGGAGGGGAGCAGTGGATGTGGAGAATACTAATATTTCTCCCTTTAGCTTTTGGCTTCCAGCCTTTGGTGAATTTTTAAAAAGAAAAGAAGTACTTGTGGCACCTTAGAGACTGACCAAGGTGCCACAAGTCCTCCTTTTCTTTTTGCGAATACAGACTAACACGGCTGTTACTCTGAAACCTGTGAATTTTTAAGCCTCTGACTATAGGGATTCATAATGGAAATACTGCTATGCCCCTAAGCACTGATGTGTAAATGGCACTGCTACTTTATTTTAGGATGCTGTACTTTAAACAGAAATGTGCCAACGAGTCTATTCCTTTGATATGCCAACTGTCAAACTGTCAAGAGTAATCACAGCAGTCCATTAATGACAAAGCCCAATGGAAAATGCATACATCACTTTAGAAACCTTATGAATCAAATATAACACTGAAAACTAATTTTAAAATTATTACATCATTCTTGTTTTATTCCCCAATGTATATTCAAATACTAATGTCAAAGAAAAATCTGTTCCTGCCTAGGGGGATAATGGAGCAGAATTAGCTTTGAGGAGCTCAACAACTCAGAGCTGCTTTCGTCATGAATGAACTGCTGATTTCTACAGGGCACATTTGATCCACAATCAAGTGCTTGCAACTTGGGAGTTGAATTTTTGAAGAAATGCAAAATGCCTGCACTTTTGTGTTAGTGGTAACAAGTCTTGTTCAAGGAGGTGATGTGTATCTTGTTCTGGGAAGATTTCCGGGGGTACTAGCAGGTGATAGTTGGGTATTGGTTTGATTTTTTTCCAGAAAAAAATTCTGCTTGACTTTTGGGCTTTCCTTGTAACAACTGCTTCACTTTTTAGTAATGATACAGGCCATGGAGGTCACACAACATTTTAATGAAAAGTTTAACAAGCCTTTTTCCTCAAGCAAGAGAGATTTGCTATCTCATTCCAGGTTTCTAGGGCAGGAGAATGAATCAGAGCTCCCAGGGACTTGAAACCACAGTGCAAACAAGTTTGTCATAGAGATCACATTATTCTCATCTGTGAAATGCAAATTTCAGAAGTTGGCAGCAAATAACTTGGATTGTGACATCTGCGTTACGTCTCTTTAATGGACCTTTAAAAATAAAAATGCAAATGGATGTTTAAATTCAGTTGGTATCTTCTTTTTGTCATTAAATTTGGTCTTCTAGAGCAGTGATGTCCACCCCAGAGCCCTGACTGAATTCCTAACAGGAACAGACACATTCTGACTATATAAATTATCCCTGTTTTAAATTGATAGGGTTTCCTGCCTTAAAAGTCATGTATTATTGCCCTGCACTGTTTATAACAACATCAGTGGTCACTGCCACCTGCCTTTTCACAGGGGTATTAACCTTTTGTAAAAAATGGTTACCTACCTTTCCGTAACTTGTTCTGCAAGATGTGTTGCACATGCCCATTCCACTGTAGGTGTGTTTGAACCTTGTGTATAGTTGTAGGAGATTTTTTACTCATTGGGGAAACATAAGTGCCCGCTGGTGCCTCGCACTACTGTATGCAAGTATAAAGGCCAGTGCTGTCCCTAAACTCCTTCAGTTCCTTCTTGCCAGAAAGACTCCTACAGAGAGGGGAAGAAGGGCAGGCAGGTCATGGAATGGACATGTGCAGTGCCTCTCAAAGAACAATAGTTATGGAAAGGAAGATAACCATATTTTCTTCTTTGAGTGATTGCACATGTCCATTCCACTGTAGGTGACGCACAAGCAGTTCGAGCCGGAGGTGAGCTTGGAGTCTACTTGAACAGGGACTGTAGGTCCACTTGTCCAAATCCAGCACAAGCTCTAGACCGATAAGAGATGGCATAGTGAGAGGTTAAGCTATGGACAGATCATAGAATCACAGAATCATAGAAGGTTAGGGTTGGAAGGGTTAGAAATCTGATGGACTTTGGGCTTGAAAAAAATTGACCCCATATCCATGGGAGAGTGGAAAGCTGGGATAACTGCCAGATAGACTCTGATGGAATAAAAAGCTAACACTGTCAGGGGGAGGGCCTGAAGCTTGGGATGAAGAAGGTGGCAGTGGTCCTGGAAGATCACATCCACATCTCTTGGAAATGAGAGCAGAGGTCTGACTGGCAGAGCTAGTAGCTTCAAAAACCAGTGTTACTTGGGCCACCCTAGGGCTATTAGAATAAAGTGAGTGGAATGTTGCTCAACTTTGGACAAGACTTTGGGTAGGAGTGGAACTGGAGGGAAGGTATACAGTAAGCTTTTTGACCAGGGTAGGAGCAAAACGTCTGGCAGTGAACCCGGGCCGCAACTTTCTCAAGAACAAAAAAAGATCGCATTTTTATTTGCCCTTGTTGCAAATATGTCCAATTGGGGAGTCCCCCAATGCTGGAAAATGGACCTTGACACATCTGGGTGAAAAGATCATTCATGGTGTTCTGTGAACGACCTGATTAGGTGGTCTACCAGAGTGTTTTGAATGCATGGAAGGTAAGAAGCTTTCAGGTTGGTGGAAATGGTGATACAGAACATCCAAAGGAGGATCGCATAAACTTTACTGACTAGGTCCACCCCTGGTTTGCTTACATAGAACACAGCAGCTGTGTTGTCAGGGAGCACCAACTCATTCTGCCCCTTGATATGTGGAACCAATGCTATGCAAGCAAAAATGAATGGCCTGAAACTCCCTGATATTTATATAGAGACTTAGATCCTGAGGAGACCAAAGGCTTTGAGTCTGAAGGGGACCTAAGTTAGGGGACCTAGCCTAGATCCAGTGAATCTGTGATTAGAGTGAGTGTCTGTCGTGGAGCGGCAAAGGAACTTCCTCAGAAACATTTGCAGGGTCTAGCCACCAGTACAGTGGGGGATCTGAGTAAGTACTTTAATCACCAGGTCCACATGATGATGGGCCACTGAATAAATTGAGGCTAGCCAGCCCTGTAGTTCTCTGAGATGCAGTCTGGCATGATGCACCATGTAAGTGCACACTGCCATGTGCCCTAAAAGTTTGAGGCAGTTTCAAACCATAATGACAAGGTACGCCTTCAGAATTAGAGCAATGACTCACATAGTTTGGAACCTCTATAAAGGCCAGGATGTTCCTACTGGGGCAGGATCCAGGACAGCCCCAATAAATTTTATTCTTTGAAAGGAGTCAGGATAGATTTCTCTGTACTGATTAGAAGCCCCAATACATCGAAAGTGCTCTGTATAATAGCTAAGCTGGAGAGTACCTGAGACCTTGACAGGCCTCTCCCTAGCCAGTTGGCCAGGTAGGGGAACACCTGGACTCCTGATCTTCACAGGAATGCCGCTAGTGTAGTCACGTATTTTATGAATGTGCAAGGGGCTGCTAACAGGCCAAAAGGCAGTACTGTGAATTGATAGTAGGATCCTTTGACCATGAATCTGAGAAACGTTCAGTGGCTCTGGTGAATCGCCATGTGCAAATAAGTGTCTTTTAAGTCAAGAGCAGCATACCAGTCCCCAGTATCTAAGGAAGGGATAATAGGTGCTAGAGAGACCATCTGGAATTCTGTTTTCTTTAGGAACTTGTTTAGCTGCCTTAGATCTAAAATAGGCCTGAGCCCCCCTTTGTCTTCAGGATTAGGAAGTATCGGGAATAAAATCCTTTCTCTCTGAATGATATGGGAACTTCCTGTTTGGCCCCCATGTGGAAGAGAGGCTGGACCTCCTGAAGTAGCATGCTCTTGTGAGAGTGGTCCCTCAAGAGGGATGGGGAAGGGGGATAGAAATAAATTGAAGGGTGTATCCTGGTTCCATCGTGCTTAGGATCCACTGATCCATTGTGATGGGGGGGCCAAGCACTTAGAAAGTGGGACAGGCGGTTGGCAAAAAATGAGGTGGGAAAAGGTGGTACACTGGGAAGTGGTAGACTGCCCTCGACCAACAGGTCAAAATGATAGTTTAGAGGAGCCAGCTTCCCTAAATGCCCCATTCCCACTGCCTGGAATATATTTTCCTCTTTCAGAGATACAGAGCATCCATAAGAGGTGCTGAATGCTCACATCTTTTGAAATTAAGGCCACTTACTTAGGTGCCTATATATGGACTTCTGAACTTAACTTTAGGTAACTGATTTTGTCCATTTTGATAGATATACACTGACAATCAGTTCATACTGTGAAGCATTTTGCTATGATTTAAGACATTTTTTAGATGATGGGTCAAATTCTCATCTCATTCCATGGAGCTACTTTGCTATAATTGAAGATAAAATTGGGCCCAACAGCAGCACAAACCATCTATTTCAGTCAAACTATACGGTTAATATAGTAATTAGTAAATGTATGCATCATCCCTTTTTTTCAGTCTGGGATTACTCGCCATTTGCAACTGGTCTGGATCAGGGAAGTTCAGCTTCTTTGAGGAAAGTGAGAATCTTTAAACTGTGATTCAGTGGGAACTTTCTGTTGACTGACATCACATTGCAACATGGTCTCTGAAGATGCATTTCAAATACATACTTGACAGTGAGAAGCTCATAAGCGCCAAGAGGGCATGGGCTTTATCTTTCGGGACAGGCACGGTGCACAGCTGTACTCATCATTTCACTGCCAATGTCAATACTTAGAAGGCAAGAAGCTGGAGCTGACAGCAATTGAAAAGCACCTTTTCTCTGAATATCTGGTATTTCATAAAATAAGTGACGTGATTGTGATACAGCACTGTGCTAACCAGCCTTGGTTTAGGGTCCCAGATTGTGAAGACCTTACTCAGGGAAAAATCCCCACTCGTGTCAAAAGGAGTTTTGCCTGAAGAAAGAAGGCATGTCATCCTCAGTTTTAATAATGAACGGACACAACTACTGTGATATAAATCTAGTTTTTCAATCACAAGCACTCAAAGCATGAGCTGGGACCCAACAAATCATGAGATTGCCTTAAAATCACGAGAATTGCTTAAAATAATAAATGTGAGACTCTTTTTATTTGCTGTCTGGGTTCTAAGCCTTTGGGGTACATTTGGTTCATGTTTGCAGGCTTTTCTCTGCAACAAAAGAAAAGGGCTAGAAAGGAGGATGAGAAAAATCCTTTTTTTTCCGATGAAAGCTGAGATTCTTACATAACCAAATGTCTTGAGGAGCTGGGGCTTGTTGTATTAGATGGAATATAGGGGTCCAAAGATGTTAACATAACCCTGTCACTGTCCAACATTAAACAGTTTTAAACAAGGTTTGGGGTTTGGTGTACATAGACCTTAGCCTGCTTTGCACCATGGCAAACACACCTTTAAAATCCATTTTACCTTTGATTAAAGGTACAGAAAGGAAGGAAAACAGTTACCACATTTGAAATGCAAAGTGTTAATTAAGACTTTCATTTTAACACATCCCTTGTTTCCTTTCCCTAGAGAGTTTTCAGAAGGAAAACCCCCCTTGTTTGACCATCTCTTGGATGGTATTAAAGATGGTAATAACTGTCCTTTTTGGGAAAAGAAAAGAAGTTAGTAGAGGTGGATAGAGTTGTCATTGTTAAAGTCTTGTCCCATTTTCTAGAGGCCAAAACAAGACAAACAGACACAAAGGAGAGAGAAAAGAACAGCAACGATAGAAAATGCAGCTCCTGTCTCTGGTGTTGAACCTCACTGCTGGAGAAACACAGGCACAGCACCTGGTCTGACCAGGCACTCTCAGACCTGGAAAACTTGTCCCAGTATGGGGCTAAAGCATTGCTTTTAGCTACCAAAATATGCAGTCTTGACTGGCTAAACAGACTCTTATTAGACAGAAAGAAAAAGGAGAAAAGGATAGCTGTGAGGCTAGCAGACCAGGTACCAACTCATGCCAAGGCCCAGGGCCTCACTGAACATTGACAAATGCATAGCTGGAAACCAGTCTGGCTCACCTGTGCGTTAGTTTAGTTAAAATAAATATTAGAGTTATAAGAATGTGTTTAGACTTTATGGAATGCTTGTAGGATGCTGCACATATTAATCCTGCTTATAATATCGTATCCCGTGGTATAAAGTTATATTGAGTGTTTGCCCTGTAAACTTCTGTGATTGTGTAACTCACCAAACAGGAAAAGAAGCATTAATTAAGGTAAAGTGCTCAACCTGCACACACGATGGTCCATTGAGGCAAATGAGGCATTGTGTGGCATCAAAGGATGGATACCTTGTTAATTGCATTCCTCCCTCCCTTCAAGAAGAGGAGGTCATCCCATCAGCTTGGATTCTGGGTGAAGAGGATAAACGTTCCTTAGAAGGAGAATCTGGGTCTCTTTGTGCTGTCTGGACTCCAAGGGGCAAAGATTCCTAAACATAAGCAAAAAATCCCCATGGGGTTTGGCATGGGTCAGCCCTAAAAGGACATATAAAGCTGCTTGTTATAGAAGCTTCTGTTACCTTTTTAAATCTAACACGGTAACCCATTTGTGTGTGTGTAGGTTTCCTGTTGTAATCTTGTAAATAACTCTCTTACTTCTTCTTTTAGTTAATAAGTCTTTAGTTAATTTATTACAGGATTGGCTACAGATGTTGTACCTGGGGTAAGTGACTGGTTCTTTGGGACTGGGAGTAACCTGAATATGTTGTGATTTTTGGTGTAACATGACCATCTGTCACATAGTCCAGCTTGCCTGAATGGCAAGATAGACGGGAATGCCCAAGAGGACTGTCTGTGATTCCACAGTAAGACTGCTATAGTGCTTTAGGAGTTCACACTTGTTACTGGGTTGGTGAAATCTAACTATGGAACATACAACCAGTTTGGGGTTTCTGCCCTGCTTTTTGACAGTTTCCCCTGAGGCTGGCCAGACAACATGAGCCACACCAGCCACACCAGACAACACCAGACAACATGACAATAGAAAAGTTAAGAGATAAAGTAGGGAAGGAAAAAAGACACATAGGCAGGAAAGAGAGACAAAGTCTTTTAACTCAGGTGGTATTCAGGATTCAGCCAGAGCCAGTAGAGGTGATGATGTCATCTACATCTCTGGGCCTGGTCTGGTCAGGACTTCTCTCAGGATCAGGATGATGAAGGACTGTGGTCCTAGGAGACAATGGGGGTGGCAGCCATAATGGTGAAGCTCTTTCTAGTAGACAATTTTTCCCACCAACACAGTCCTTGAGTCATATCAGTAGGCCTTTTTGTTGGGACTAATTCAGTGTTTCTGTCTCCCTGTTGTACGCTTTCCCATCAGCAGTTGTTGTGATAGATTACTGTGATAGTGTATAAACTTACACTTTTTTCCACAGTTGAGCTCACAATCAGGGGAAATTTGTAAGGCCTATTTATTACAATAGGCTTTAAGCAAAGCACCAAATATTGCGTAACTCACAATAAAATCATGAGAGTTGGCAACACTATCATTGAAATCTATCTGTGTATATAAGGAGTGATGATGTGCACATGGTATGTATTTTTAAACAGCAAGCTGTAATAAAAGGTGTCTTAACGAAAGTATTGCTAGAGCTCCACCCATAATACAAATAAAAAAAAGAGACGGTAGGTCTTTAAGCATTTTGGTATCCGCTTGAGTTTCAATGATGTTTTAGGGAAAGCAGAGTGTATCTACTGATGTAAGACCCTCCATTTTAACTCTGCTCATAGCCCTGCCTTTTAGCTGGCAGGCTTCTCACATTTAAAAGTGCAGTACACAAAACCCAGGATTTTAGCTTCCTATACCACAAGACCCCACAAATATCCATTTTTACTGAATCTGTCTCCACTTTAAAAGAACAGCCTGAAACATGTAGTGTACTACATTGAACGAATACCAGAGCAAGGAATAAACACATTGAGGGAATACACTTCCAACACCAAAAAGAACCAAAGAAGATTCTTCTTCAACAAAAGAAATGAACCAAACAAAATTCCAGTGTCAAAAGCTGTAGACTTTGTTCTAGTAAAACTCTTTTTTCACCTGTAAAGTCCCCAAACAGTTAAAGGACTAGATCTGTTAAGCAGTAACATTGTGGCACCACAAGGTTATCCATGCATTTGGTTAGTACAATATCTCCTCTTGTCTAGACATACTAACCACTTCCTTTCTGGGAGTGTGTTCATAGCATAGCAGCAAAATCCGCAAGGCCCAGATCATCTCATCGCTGTGGAAAAACCCACAGGAGAGGGCTGGGATGGGGAATCTCTGGTATTCTCCCCACAGTCAGTTTACTGGGGACGGAAGGGCTTGCCCCTTGCAGAGTGGATTGTGGAGCTCATTCCCAAACTTGGTGGATCACTATATCAGTTCTGGCCCATGGAGACCTTCCTGATTCCATTCCTTTCCTCTCCATACTGCCCAGCCACCAACCCTGTTTCCTGTGCAGACCCTGAAACCCAGAGATCATGGCAGAAGGAGGTGGTGATGGCCATCTTGTAACTTTTAGCACAGTAGTTAGTGCTCTCACCTTGGATGTGAGAGAATCAGGTTCAATTCTCCTCTAAGCTACAAGAGGAAAAAGGATTTGAAGAGAGATTTCCTACTTACTGTTCTCTCTCCTACTGCCATCTGTCCTATATCTGCTGACCTCTCCCCCCTGTTGTCTCTCTCTTCCTTTCTGCCCCTCCTCTTCCTCCTCGCTCCCCTATCCCATTTCCTTTCTGACCTTCTCTCTCTTCTCCCCTATCCACACTCTCCTACCCCATTCCTTCTTGCTCCCACCCCCTTATCCTCTTTTGTATTGTCCTCTGACTCCTGAAGCCCCTCAATGTTCTGCAGTCAAACTCCCTTGTCCAGTTGAGCCCCCTCACCCCGACTTGTCTTAGCTGCCTATCTCATTCATCAAACACCCCATCCCATTTCCTCCAGCCACTTTGGTTAGTCCTCATCAACGGTCTTGTTTCCAATCATGGTATCCTATCCACCCATGTTTTCACCCTTTGCTCAGCCCTTCCCACTCCAGCTCACAGTGTGGGCCCCTACCACTCCCCCCGGTTTCCCTCCCTCTCCTGCCCCTTCCTATCCCCAGCTCCCCACCTGCTTCCTGACTCAGACCCTTCCTTGTCTCCCCCGTCTGGAGAACCCTTCCCCTCACCACCTGCCCCTAATCTGGACTTTTCCTTGCCCTTTCCCAGCCTCCCCTCCACCCCACCTTTCTTGGCAAGTTGGACTCACAACCCCCTCAAGCACCACCTTGAGTATGTGACCGCAATGTTCAGCATTCCCCATCTCCATTCCCCTCTGACTGCCCGGAGGCCACCCTGTTGCCCTGCACTGTCCTGGGAGTTGCCCCCCCAGTCTCCTCAAGCTGGATGGGGTTTTAGAAGGCATTAGGGTGCTGAAGAGTTTCGAGTGTGGCACCTTAGTGCAGGCATAAGTCTCACAGGAATCAATCTATGAGTGGATCATTGTGGACATTCAAGGGCACCAGCAGCAGCCGGCAGACAAATGGAGGGTCTTGAGGTAACCCAGATGGCCTGCTAATGGCAAATCATGACAGAGCCTTTAACTGAGGCGGTCCTGGTGTCACATACAAATGGCTCTGTACGTGAAGCAAGCCATCCTGGACCTGGTGTTGCCCCTGACTTGCTCCCTCAAGTTCCTTAGGAGGGAGCTCCTTCCCTGCAGCTGAATGGATCAGTGACCTGAGGTCTTAGGAAACTGCAGCATCCAGGAAGTTCTGGGTCTTAAGAATATATTGGGGATTCAGCATGGCGGGGCGGCTCTTGGCTGGCAAGATAGTCCTCTTTTCACGACCGCACCAGCAGTTTTGTTCTGGGCCCCCAGGTGGAATGGGATGGTGGAATTGAATCATGGGAAGAACAGGGTCAGTGAAGCTGCTTCTGGTTCAGCACCTTATTTGGCAGAGGTATTTTTAGTTTTTATGATTTGTGTAGATTTGTACTGGGTACTGAGCACCCTCCAGATCAGGGGTCTCAAACACGTGGCCCGTGGAGTTATTTTCTGCGGCCCACCAGCTCACCGTGGCCCCCCATACCCCTATCATTTACCAAGAGCGGCTCCGGAGGGGCAGGGCAGGTTCCCTGCCTGCCTGCCCTGCCCCGGCACCGCTCCGGGCCAATGGGAGCTTCGGGGAGGTACCTGGAGGAGTGACCAGGGCAACACACAGACCCCTGTGCCCCACCCAGGTCCCGGCCGCTTCCTGGTGTGCGCCAGGCCGGACCCGCCCCCCGGAACTCCTCCTGCAGCCGAAGCCCCTGCCGTGAGCCCCCTGCTGCACCCCACACCCCTCCTGCACCTCGATCCCCTGCCCTGAGCCCCCTGCCACACCCCACACCCCTCCTGCACCCCAACTCCTTGCCCTGAGCCCCCTGCTGCACCCCGCACATCTTCTGCACCCTGACCCCCTGCCCTGAGCTGCCTGCCGCACCCTGCAACCCCGAGCCCCTGCCCTGAGCCCCCTGCTGCACCCCACACACCTTCTGCACCCCGACCCCCTGCCCTGAGCCCCCTGACCCACCCTGCACCCCTGGAGGCAGGGAGGGGGTGGAGTTGGGGTGAGGATTTCAGGGAAGGAATTGGAATGGGAGCAGGGAAGGAGTGGGAAGAGGACCTCACAGAAGGGGTGGAGTGGGGGCGGGGCCAGGGCAGCGAGGGGGGGGGTGTGGTCAGTGGTGTGGCCCTCGGGACAATGTACTAGTCCTCATGTGGCCCTTGTGCTCATTTGAGTTTGAGATCCCTGGTGTATTTGGTAACTAGTGACTCAGACTTGGCTACTCAAAATGAATAGCAGATCTATTTGTCAAAGTTCAAATTACTCACTCGTTGATGCTAGCAGAGTCTGTTTATTTGCGGTAGCTGTTTAATAATTCTTCTGTCTTGTTAAATTGTGTATCAGCTGAGTTATGTGTTAGTGGAATTTTGTACTATTGTCTATATAGCAATCAGTCATTAACCATTATCTTTTTATAACTTTTCCCCCAGCCTTCAGTTTAGGTGTAAATTCTTTAACAATCCACTGCTCATTGTAGGTGTTCTTTTTATTTCTGAAATGTTGAGGAAAGCACAGATACAGCCAAAAAAAGTTTTGATCCATTACTGCTAACATATCAAGGCAGCAGTTATTTGTTCTAGATTTAAGTCACAGTATCAGTACTTAAAGAAGACAGAGGAAAAAACTCCTGAGTACCGTTCTACTTTGAAAATTGACTCTTGAAAACTGGCATTATCAGGCTCCATATTCATTGAATTTCTCTGATTTCAATAGCAAAATAGTTCAGCTTGCAAGTAAAAATGTGATTTTTGTCTAACTACTAACCCTACAAAATGGGCTCTGACATTTAAGCTGGGTTCTTTTCTTCCCTCCCGTCAGCACCAGTAATAAGGATTCTCCAAGACAAATTATGCTATCAGTGGCACCTGTGCATACCATTTGTTTTCAGATTCTTCTTCCATTCATTTTTCTGCTACCCAATTAGCCATCAGGTGCCGCTGGTGACATAATTTGATGCCCACTGGGAGGCACAGGTGTAGTTGATGAAATAATCTGGCTTTCAGACCCTCTGTTACTGGTGATGGCGCAGGAGATTAAAACAATTCAGCTTGATTGTCAGAGCCCAGAGTGAGCTTATGCGGCTAGC